CATTTAAAATAAAGATAAAAAAATATATGCACATGTAGTTTTATTAGTTTTAACTACTGCAATACAACAATTTGTTTTTTAAATGCCAACAAGCTTGATCACATTCAGTAACAATTTCTTTAAAATGCAAGTAAAAAATATTGGTAACTGTAAAGATTATTTTGCATTGTTAGTTTAGTACATAGATTTAGGACTAGCCTATATCTAAGTTGGCCAAATATGTTATATCATTGAGTTTATAGTTGAAAACATTACTAATGGGAAGAGTACCCAACTGATGAAATAGGCATTCTAATATTCATAAGTAACAACATAAGGAAACTATAACCACTAATTACCAAGTTGATTCTCAGTTTTGATCTAAGTACAGGTAGGTTGCATGCTTTGAGAAGGTAATATTAACTTATTAAGGACTCAATAACATCTTTCTACAATGCTTATCAAATTAAACTTACACAAAAACATATGCTTTCAGTTACATATACAAGTTCAATTTGATAACTGATGAATATTCCCCAACATACTTTTTGATTTCTTGCACATAGTCAACACCATGGTCTAGAAGGTGAGCAAAGCTATCTTTAATTGACTCATGTTTATGCTTAGAGGCTGTTCCAATAAGAGTTACATCCGACACAGTTTTGCAAAGTTGAGAAATAGCTTGACCCTGCAAATAATAAATCAATTTGTTGGAATCTGATGTTACATAACTTTTATACAATGTTTTTCAAATGATAAAAACATGGTATTACTTGCAATGTACATTTCACAAAATCTTATATTACTGTAAAGCATTAACTTGTGTTAATCAGTCATAAATAAGTAAATAATTAAAAAACAGAAAAAATTAAGAAAACAAAATATCAGTCATTTTAACTAACACCTGTTGACAATACTGTTTATACTATTGTCCAAATACTTGTTGTACCTCATCACAAAACTAAAAATATTTTGTATCACATCTTTAACAAAACTGCAAGTTTGTGAAAATATAAACTTGTTGCATGACAAGTTATGTTGCAACAAGTGCCATGCATAACAGGATGGTTTCTGTTTAATGGATAAACTAGTATTTTTTACATTCAATTAAATGACTGTTTGATCATATTCAGCAGAAGTGTATGTTCCTTTCATTAATGTTTCAAAAAAATCAAAGTCAAAAAATGAAGTGAAAATTGTCAGTGTAGTTTGTTATAGGAATTTTTGAAGGTTAATAATCTATATTTCTACATTTTGCCAATGGACCAATTGTTGCTTTAAACATTTTATTAAAATCTGTTGCAGATATATTTTTTAGAGACATGAATATCACAATAACCTGCTCATGCATTTTTCAGCTAAGAAAAGAATAGTGATATCAAATACTGTATGTTTATTCTCCAGCCATTACACCATTGTTGTTAGAGACAATCTAATTCTACCTATGCACATTTTTAATTTCCTTTATGCAGGTTTTTCAAATTTTTAACAAAACTTTCACAACTCAATTTAAATCCTTAATATCAGATCATTGGAAACTGATGTTCAATAGATACTCATTAAAACAAACCTAATATCTACAGTTAAATCTCATAAGTAAAACTGATATACTTTAAATTGAACAAAATATTTTCCCTCAAAACTCATCATAAAATCTTTATAAAGTGTGTTCAAGAGTGCATCCTTCATAGGCAAATAAAAAAAAATAAAGCTGATAAATTGCAAATTAAGCTTGTACTCTCATGCAGATTACAGTGAACAGTTTATACGGATCTAAAAACAGTAAAAAAAATAATATACCTGACATTATGGAAAATATTTTATCTTCATTCACGAGAAGTTTCAAACTCAAAATATAAGTGATTGTTTTATCAATGAAATAAACACACACACTGTATAATGCTTAGAAATTTATATACACATAAATGCTATAACTGGAGGTGTGAGCCATCTTATACCATTTTCAGCCATAGTACAAACACTGTTTGTTCGATGCAAAGGAAGTACCCGTACAACATGTGATAATAAATGTCACTTTCATTTTGCATTAGCTTCTCATTTTTCCTTCCAACTTCCTTGCTCAGTTGAGCCCTCATTTGTGACATTAAATTGGTATAATTCAAATAGCTGCCAAACTCCAACCATTCATACAATTATTTATACATACAAAACAATCTTTGGAGTTTTTGGGTCAACCTGTGTTCCTCTTCCAAATTTCATCAAAATTGATTCAGCCACTACCTCAAAGCAAATTGATGAACTCTAGAACTGTACACTGCCACATGGTTTTAAGTCACAAATTAACTGATACATCAATACTTCATGTAAATTAGTAGATACAAGCCTTTTAAAATGGTGACCATCAACTAGATATGTTAGATATACAAATGTATTAAACTGTTTAGGTTCAAATACTATCAATTTACACAGATCTCTCTATACCAGTAACCAAATTTTATTCATAACAAACTGAAATACCTGTCCTTTGTCCGGGTTATGAACTTTAAAGAAATGTGGTGGCAGATGCTATGATAAATAACACAAAAATCCTAACTTTCACACAATTTATTTATAACATAACTTATTATTACAATATTAATTATTACCCACCAAAAAGTTTTGTATAAGCTTTAAGAAATCAATATGTATATACTTAAAACATGGTATACACTGTGCAATGGTCAGGGTAACTTTGTAGGAAGAGGTAGCAGCCAAAGTACTGGCAGTAGGTGTGCTTTCTGTTACCTGCTTTCAACACTCAGCTCTTAATGTCCTTCCACAGTGTTTCACATGATTAATTAAGTGATGGTCATTGGCCACAGAAGTGTCTTATGGGCCAAAGCTGAAATGTCATGGGACAAAGTAAGAAGTGGATATAACTCAAGAAACGGCTCTTCATATCAGCCTTATGGTGGCTGTTGAAGTAGAAGCTTCAGCTGAATTTGTATTATTGCAATAGTGGTGGCCATTTTCTTCACTGCATTCCTCCATAGAGTGCTAGTGCACTGTCCGAGATATACAAGATATTTGTTGTTCAATATAGAAATTTTTTTTTTGTGTAAGCAAGTGCCACCATCTATAAATGTAGGTAATGTTAACTTATGTCAAAGATAATAAATGCTTAATAACAGCAATAATGGGAGTGGAGGTGGTTGTACCCCCCACCCCCATTAACATGCCCCTTGTTCCAAACTATCATTCCACAAAACAAACTACCACATAAACTAACATACCACTCCTCCACCTGCTGAATGCACAAGGACACTCTGACCACTTCGGATATTTCCAATATCAAAAACCAGGATGTATGCAACTACATAATTCATCAACATAGAAGCAGCATTTTGAAACTCCATTCCTTGAGGCAGCGAGTATACATATTTGGCTGGAACAGAAACAAGCTCAGCCCAAGCCTTGTATTCAGTCAGAGCAGCTACCCTATCTCCAACCTATTGCATAAAATAAAATACAAGTAATTGAATGTTATTATAGATTTACAAAGAGAACTTACAGCATTATATTGCTATGATTAACCAAAATGCCAATAATCACTATGTGTCTTATGTAATGTATAACAAAATTTACATAGTTGCATAGAAGGCATACATAACTATCATTTTACTTCTCATTTCACTGTAAAAAGACATGAGGTGTAATAGCACAATACAATTTATAATATCAAAATCTTTCTTAAAGCATTATTCTTTAAAATCCAAAAATTTAATTTACGAGCCTAAAAATAATCACTTAATTTATCAAATGTTATGAATAATTGAAAACTATTACAAGAATTAAATAGTTTGAAATTCATTTAAAATGTGCACAAAATAAAGCTTTGCAGTGGATATTGTACTGCTTCAAAGAATTTGGTACAGTATTGTTAGTGTGCAAAAAATGTTTAGGAACTGTATAAAATTATGAAGTTATAAATAAACAAATTTTCTAGTCCATAGTGTTATTCACTAACATGTGCATGTTCACAACATCCATGTAGGCAACATTATTACAAATTTTGGTGAAATTCTTCAATAAATACAAGTTAGTAATAAATATGCTCTAGTTATTGAATAGTCAGTTTCAAAGTATACCTTGTAAACAGAGTTTTACACAAGAAATTAGGAAGAAAGATTCTAAAAGATGAGAAAATAAAAAAAAAAAGTTATTAATTTTGGAAATTAATACTAATAATAGTTTAAATAAAACCCAACTAAATTAACCAATTAGTCTCATAAAAAGTAAACAAAACCAGTAAAAATACTCTAAAATGAAATGAAAGTAAAAAATAGGAAAAAAAATCACTGCTAAAGTTTTAGAAATTAGTTTATCCAAAAGAATAATTAAGAACTATAATTTAAATACACAAGTCTTTAGAATGAGGTACTAAGCATGTTAATTCTCCTATTAACAAAGGTTCAAGTACATATATCATCACATAGTCAACATCAAGGCTTGCCAAATCCCACACACCAGGTCATCCATTTAAATATGGGAGTATCACACAGAACTGGTAAAAAAAAACAACTATCAAATCCACCAGACTATAATTTGCACACAGCAAAAACACCAACCACCCCATCTTGATTACAAATTTCAAAGTCATCTAGATCATCCAATATTGAACTTTTAATTAAAGAAAGTTTATCTATTATAAATGAACTCCCAACTTTAAATAATGATAATAACAATACAACTTCACTACAATTAAGTCTGTTCTGAATATTTCTATAATATTGTTACAATCCTATTCTTTGTTTACTTGTCTGTCTTTTAATTTATTTCATCCTTTTATTCTGTATTTTAATTACTTTTTATGAAATGTTCAAACTTTAAATTTTTGTACCTAATAATTTACCCTGTTCAATATAGCTTGCTGAAGATGGAATATGTATATTCTGAAACATTCAAGAATTAAATGTTTGTTACCGTACACACACACACACGTCAATGTTCATTGTTGCTGCTATCATTCATTATTAAAACACCATAAAGGAAGTCCAGATTGACAATTCTGTACAGATTTTTAAATTTCTAACATTTGACCACCAGCCCATAAATTCACAAATTGGTTCTCAGTTACTGAAGTATGGCCAGTTCCAAGTTTCTTTAAGTTTTATGTAATTCCACATCTCATAGAAACAATTGAATGATTGGTTCACCTTTAAAGTACCAGGTACGTTAAATTGCACAGAAAAGAAGCACGTGTATTCTGTTTATGTCTAAAAACACATAACTTGCACAATATTGAAAATTGGGCCAGAAATTTACTTGAGGCAAGGAAAGAATGATCGCCACTCCCCACTACCTCCTACTGGTTAAGCTACTATTCTGGCTTCTAAATGACAGACATATTTGGCAGACCCTCTTCATCATGATTTATGCATGTTCCTCTTGAATATTTTATGTAATTTGTCTAATAAGTTAATCATTTACAGTCTAACCTTCTGATTGCCAACAATATGTGCATCTATTTCCAGTTTTCTCATTAGAGTTCATTTTCTTCATTAACATGATTGCTGTTTGATCCAACACCTTATAGAAACTGAAAATGTGATCAATGGATTTTTTTTTCTGCACTTAATAGATTCAAATTAATTTCACAAATTTTATTGAATGAAATGGATTTAAACTGTATCCACAAAATATATTTGAAGCTTAGATTTTTAAGGTAAATAGAGGTACTGAAGTCCAGTTGTGGTAAATTGCCACAAAAATTATTGAATATGTTACCTTTACATCTGTGACTCCTTCTCCCACACCTTCTACTTCTCCAGCACATTCAAATCCCAAAATAAATGGGGTTTTGGGAGGACTATCAATTACCCCTTGTCGAACCATGACATCCAGGAAGTTCAATCCACTGAAAGTGTACACAACAATTGATATTGGAATAAAAAAAAAGAAAGTTACTAAAACATTCATTTCATTCTATTTTTCGAAACATGCACTAGGTTGTTTTGATGTATTTTGAATTTTAAAAAATTAAAAACAAACAATCAGCAGTAAGAAAAATTAGATAAGAAAGTTACTGAATCATTTGAAAATTTCTTTAAACACAGGAAGGATTCTTCTTTATGTCTTATTTATAATGAAAAAGTAGCTATTTAAGAAGTATCAATCTTTTTGAGAATAAAGTTCTTAACATGTGTGAGATTTACCATACAATATTAGAGAAGCTTAGAGTTAGAGATATTTACTGTAATTTATTAAATAACTTGAGGCTGGGGAAATTTCCAATAATCAAAAATATTTTATTTATTATTAAGAGGAGGATCCAGAAACTACAATCCTACAAGTTTCACTCCTGTTGAAATCTGCAGTTAGAATTCAAATCTAGCATTTAACTAACAATTCTCAGGAATTTCTTACAAAAAGATCCGATTACCTTATCAATTTGTTTTTTCTCCCCTGTTTGATGTTACATATCTTGGAGTTTCAGAAAGTCTATGAGGAAATGGAACTTCAAGAAAGACCTTGTGAATTGGGATAATAAAAGGGTCTTATGCTAAGAAAAACTTCCCATAATTTCAAGAAATTACCCAATCTCATGTAAAAATACATTTACCCAGTCAATTTTTCTGACATTAGGCTAGTCTCACACAGTTATAAATTTGTTCAATTGGAATATGAATAATTTTTCTGTACTTTTTCTAGTGATCATAACCTGAAGAGACAGCTTGAAAAAACTGCTAATTGGAGTTAATCTTTTTCTTTACTCTCAGGAATGAACTACAAACTTCATATATTTAACTCGTGTCAGGAACATTATCAGGCCTTCAGCTTACTTCAGACAAAGATTAGTCTGTCCAGTAATTTTATCTTCATGGCTCCTCTAAATGGATTTAAAACCTTTTAAACTAACATCTTCAAATTCCTTGCTCTGATAACAGGTAACATCGTGATCTTTAACACTAACAACAAAGTCATCACTTACAACTTTCTTCAGTCTTTCAATGCTAGCATATAAGAAAACTATACTCATATTAGCCTTCTCAATCAGTAAAGCTATCATTATAAACCAAATAAAATTTAGGATCCTTTTCTACTCCAACATCATCAAGAGCCATTAACTCAAGTCCATTTGGTATGTGTACCTTAACCCTACAACTTCTTCTCCATTGCAAATAACATTAAACCATACACTTTTCTTCCCGTAAAAATGGAATTTAATATTTTTGATCAATTTTTTTTAATTGTACAACTTCCTCACCTAACTCGCTACTTTTGCTCTCAATATCACTAATTGTTTTCCTCTGTCATGAGAATCGGATTTATGAAAACCAAGACATAGAAGTCATACAATGTATTAATAGTAAAAAGAAACCATGATAAAATCCCATAAAAATGAAAAGAGAATAGTACTGTAGTTATAATGTTTTATCACACTGTGCATTATATTGAATATGACACAGGATTATGTAATTTAGTATAAGCTTTAAATTCCAAGCTTAAAGAAAATGGTACGCTACTGCATTTTTGGAAAGACTATCTAATAACCCTGATATACAAAGTATTGGAAAACATTTACTATGTTGAAATATGCTCTCCATATCAATTTACATCATTCTAACTTTAATTGACAGTAAAAGTACCATACCCACCATTTTCTACTTATTAATCATGTTGAGATCTGTTGGAATTTAAAATAATCAAAGTAACCATCAAAGGAAAACAAATTTTTGGGAAACAGTAAAGTATATATATATTATACTTTAAGAACCTTGATGACCCATGCATATTCTGGAAATAATTCCTTCAAGGATGGGGTTGGGTATGAGAACACAATGTTGATCATATGATGTCTATGATGCCACAAGCATTGGTGGAAGCTTATCCTAACAATGTGCATTTAACATAACATTACTGCAACAAGGACCATTGGGTCTTTCAAGGCTGTCCCTATACATTCAACAAAAAAAAATTAATTTAAACCAACCATTTATTTTCCAAGATATCATTAATTACCCTCTTAGCCCTTTCAAGACAGGCCACAGGTTAAAAGCCATGTCATCTCGTTTGTCGACTCACGTTAAAAATTTTATTGAACTACTACATGAATTCATGTTAATAAGTTTGATATCAAACTGTAAATTATAATTCAAATTTTAGTATTATACATTATTCAAATTTCTTAATTTAAAAGTAAATATTAAAAAACACACAGTTAAACATCAATTTTTGTTTGTCCGTGGAATGTTGAATGCATTACTGGTTCAAATTAGATGTTTATGAAGTCAAAATACTAAGTCTATAGTTTAGTACGAATTAGAAACTCAAATTACAGATATTGACAAGCTATAATATGAAATACGAATGTCTTATCTTTTCTATTTGCTAAGATATTGCTCATGTAATAAATCAAACACAATAGCATCTCGCCCACCTATTTCCATTTTTGGAAATGCTCCCTTATATACACTTACTTCTATATATAGTAGCTTTCTCAGCCATTTCCTTCTTTTAAACCAATATTTCAAGGAGGTAGTGTGTGTCTTTAGTCTGCTCAAAATTTCATATTTTTTTAGGCTAAAATACATCTTAGTTACTAAGCTTGATAAATTATAGTGGAATACTATGGTATTGATGTAACAACTTATGATTTTTTTACTTATTCAAATATATATATAAAACCTAAAAAAAATATTTTGTTTTATATCCTCTACAT